TCAAATTGCACATATTGGGAAATCAAATAAGCAAACATGAGAGCAGTTAATCTTGGATATACAACAAATTTAAAAGAACAATCTTTGCTTTATGCATAGTGTCCAAACCTTAGCTCAAAGAGAGAAGAAACCCTAAAAAAGAGGTGCCGCTGCTGGAGTGAAGAGGAAGAGAGAGTCACGAAACGAGATATGGTTCACAAAATATAGTTATATAACATAAGTTTTCCGACGGCTTTCGGTCGAAAAAAACCGACGAACACTAGTTATAAATATTTGCCTCGATCTTTAGTATATTTTCCGATATTTAATATATTTTTTTGCCTTAATTTTCAGCTGTAAGGCAGTGTCTCTTGTTCCGACTGCCTCCGTCGGAAGTTCGGTCGGTCATCACTGAAGAAATCCATATTCAAATCCAAATTTCCCGCTACGTTTAGTAGACCCATTTTTCGGTGTTTTTATACTGAGTGAAAATAGAATATTCAATTTGGCAGTTACTAATTTTTTAAGATTTTGAAATTCGATTTTTCAATAATCAAGTTACTCTTTCTTCTATTTGTTTCGTATATTTTTCATATCTTAACATAATAACATTGAATAGTTTGATTATTCTAGCCTTTCCAAGACATTACTAAATAGTAAATACTAGCCTCTATTGGAATATATCTAGACCATAGATATTTCTAACTCTTGATATTTTTTAGAAATAACTTTACTTCTATGGGCTTGATTTTAGAATAATATAGCTATCTCATGTACATTAACTTGTCTCTTGTAAGATGATTATTTGTCCCTTTTATTAAAATTGCTATTATTAAGGAATAATGACAAAAAAACTGAACCTATACCTACTATTTGAGATACTCCCACAGGTACGTACCACCTATAGGAGATGTTTACTTGCCTCTTTACTCATTAGTTTGTCACTTATAGGTCTTTTATTAATTTGGACAACGTATTTCATATTAAATAGTAGCATTTGAAATAACCAGGGTTTGAAATAAAACAGCTAAAATTTCATCGTAGGGTAGTGCACATTCATTTACAAAGAATTTCAAAAGATTTATGCATGACAATCTCTATGAACTTTTCTCTATATTATGTTCTCTTTTCTTATTATCAACATTAGAGTATTTAATTTCATCGTCACCTTCAAGTTAGGGTTTCACTAACCTCTTCAGGTAGATTAATAGTATATTATTTCAACTGCTTGGTCAATCACGATCACGAGCAACATATGAATCATAAGCAATTAAGGACGTACAATAGTAAATCTCTTAGTAATTTGGCATGCCTTCTTTATATATTTCATTTGTTTTCCTCTCGATTTTTCTTTTAAATCTTAACGAATAAAGATATGTAAGACTTCGCATACCTGTATATGCAGGCATCCAAAAAGCCCCAATCCATCTGAACCAGTCGAATATTATGAAGAGGAATAGGTAGTCGAGGTACATGCAAACGGGATTGTATTGGCCAAAGAATTGGTCTCATGGGTCGTTTAGTAGGAGGTATAAGAATAGTGATGAATAGATGTATTAGTATTAATGATGGTAGTAGTAGTGATGAGATTAGTTATGCTAACATTAGTTATGCTGAGATTATTTCTTATCCACTGTTTGGTTTGGTGTATTAAAGTATTGCATGATTTATAAATAAATTGGTTGTTTACAAAAATACCCTTCACATTCTTTAACTTTGTACCCTATTTTTATTGCAACAACTTTATTACCGTCTATATTCTTTAATCTCTCTAAAGCCAACTTTTTTTATAGGAGAGCAAAACTAAAAGAGAAAACTAACTGAAATATTAAAGTTAAAAGAGAAGAAAATTTTAACTACTATGACATATTATACAAAATACCAATTATTAAAAAAATAGGTAGATTTTTAACAAATAACGAAAACTTCAGTTTATACTTTGAACGAATTCAAAATAAAATTTAGTATGAAATATGATTTTTGTTTTATTATAGTAGAATGCTAAAGGGAAAAAATTAATTAAAATATCACAATATAGAAATATACAAAATATTGCTGAAAGTATTTGGAATGGGTTTTGAGGAATTTGAGGGGCAATTATGTCTTTAACTAAGCTTATGCATGTATTAATAATATTGGTATTGCTAATACTATGGTTTGCTATGCATTAGTTATACATAAGATAATACCAAATAGAATGTATAACTAATGCTTGTATTAGTTATACATATATTGAAAAAGTGTACCAAATAAAGTATTACTAATTTAGCAATAAAAAAAAAACTAATACCTGCATTATATTTCTAATGCACTCTGCCAAACAGACCTCTTAGACTCTTAGCTAAGAACAAAAAAAAAGGTTTGGGGAAAGGAAGAAAAACCTTTTAGGAAAGTGAATATTCCGAAAACAGAAAGGAGAAGACATTAGAAACCACCAAGCAAATTAAGCTGAGGTCTACAAAGGAATTGATTGCTTCTCTTTTTCTTGTAACTTAAACCACACAAGTCTTATAGATGAAGGCCCTCATTAGATACGACAGATGTACTTTACACGTAAATATATAAGGGCTAGACCAATATGATGTTGATTCTTGATTTTTTCGATTGATGATCGTCGAGCAAGTTTCTAACATATAGTATATGAATAATATCATCAGTAAGACAGTAACATACATAAAACTTTACACGAGTAGTGTAGTATTACACTTGTACGGTAATTTAAATTTGGAAATATTAAGTTCTAAGACTATTTTTCACCCCATATAATGTTTAATGTAAATTATTTTTCAAGTAGTAGTGTCGAGTATCTGACATATATACATTATTGTGAAACCATTTGGTTGGCCGCCGTCGGATGCCACACCACACAAAACTAAAGCTAAAGAAAGTAGTTTACGTGTATCCTATGCATATAGGCCGGCTATGTGTCTGTAGCTCGACAGCAAATGACAACGTTACCCTTATCATATAAACCTGAATGTCCAATTATGTTTACATGAAAAATGATCGTTTTTACCATTTCTTACCACCTCTTAAGCTACCCAATTATTAGGGTTGACCATGTAAGTGTTTGGATTTTTTTTTTTTTTTCGCTTTATATTGTTTCTCGTTAAGGGTAGCATTAGAGTAACGATAAAGTTATTTCTGTGTGATCTATAAGTCAAAGGTTCAAGCCGTGAAAGCAGTGGAGGAGCCACGTTGAAGCAAGGGACCGACACCCCTTCGCCGAAAAATTACACTATTTTGCTAGATAAATTTTTTTATTTTATGTATATTTACTATACGTTGACTCCCCTTGACTTTTTGATATATCTAATTATTTATATTTTAACACCCCTTGATAAAAATTCTGGATCCGCCACTGCTTGAAAGCAGTCACTAATGTTTGCATTAGGTAAGTTGACTATATATCACATATTCCTTGGGTGCAGCCCTTCTCCGAACCATACGTGAATGCAGAATATTTTGTGTACCGGACTGCTATTTTTATATCGTTTCTTATTAGTTAAGAAGGGGATAAATGAAACCTTGCAATGAGACAACTGCTGAGAAATGTACGTTGCTCGACAAAACTTTGAGACAAGTTTAAGACTTTGAGGTAAAACTATAATAGCTATACGTAGTGAAACAGATGCAAGAAGTCAACATCTTAAACTAAACTTGTGCCCTACTCAATGCCGTTCTTAATTATATATACGCCAATGAGATCAAAATACAGATAACATTGCTCCCTCGAACTTTAGTTTTCCCTAGTCTTCCTTTCTCAATATTTTTGGGGGTCGGAATGAGATCTTAAATAATGAGTAAAAGGAAAGAAATATAACTAATGGACTAGAAATATGTAGTCATCAAATTTATATAGAACACTAGCAGAGCTTAGCAATCAGGCTAGCCCGTAGATTAGGTTTGCTGATAAATGAACCTTAGGCCTACTTCAAAAGATAGCTCATGAGGTGAGATTAGTCTAATGCTTCCATTCCCGACCGATGTGGGATATTCAACATATGCTTATTGATTGAGCTTATCTCTCTATCTTTTGCCTTGTTTTGAATGTCCATGACACCTAGTTAAGCAATAATAATTAGAAGAAATAATTAAGACTATTGGAGTGAGAGTCATTGGTTATCTTATTTTCTTACTATTGTTACTGTTTGTTTATTGTGTCTTTTTTACTGTTCTTGAGGCGAGAGTCTATCGGAAACAATCTATCTTCCTTCATAAAGTAGGGATAAGGTCTGCGTACACATTATCTTCCCCAGACCCCACATGTGGGATTACAATGAATTTGCTGTTATTGTTGTTGTAGTCCTTGGTAATTTAGGGAATTCAACACCGACTCTCAAATAAATAATATTCTAAATAAATAGATGAAACAAAAGAAAGACAAAATAAAATTGGAAAACTCACATGAGGTATATGAGTTACGGCTAAAAGATGGTGAAGCTGAGAGATATATGAGTTACGGCTAAAAGATAGTGAAGCTTCTTATATTGGAGGTAATGTGTGTTCATGTTGATAAATAACGTTGATAAGACTTGTTGTGATATGGAAATCAAATAGTAACCAACTTACTTAAAGGGGTTTATCTATTAAAAATAAACTATTTGATTAGAGATCTTGAGTTAAAAATTTAAAAATTAGAAAATATAAATTTTACGCATTGCGAATCTAAATATTATACGATTAAAAAGAAAAGAATAATTATTGCGAGGAACCAAAATTGCAAAGAGAAAGGACAGTAAAAGCGGTCATTAATGTTTGCATTAGAATAGACTGTCTATATCACACTTCTTGGATCCAGCCCGACCCTTCTTCGAATTTTGCGTGAGCACAAAATACTTTGTGCACCATACTATCCTTAAGCGGCCCTATTGCAAGCCACGACCATAGCAATCATGCAGAGAAACTTTGCTTGGCTGGAAATAAAACCTCTAAAAAAAATAAAATTAGATCCTTCAAAAAACAAGGTTTTTTTACTCTCACTCGTCACTACAACCATATATAGTAGGAGTACAATATCTGTCTCTTTCTCATCCCTACTGCTTTTTGCTATTTCTTGCTCTCTTTCTAGCTTTTTCTTCTATTCCATTCTCTATATTCAGATTCTTTCCTCTTTAATCCAACAAGCCTACTGAACAATGAAGGTATATATGATTCTTCATTCATCATATTTTATTACTTTCCATTTTTACTTCTCCACTTTTGGAATACTATTTCAGGAAATATTCAACTATTGTTTTGAATTCTATATGGGGTTTGATCATTTCTTTTAATTTCTTTGATTCCTTAAGATTCTTTCCCTTTCCATTTTACTAGATTTTTTTGCCTATCTTTGGATATCTAATCTTCTTAATTATGATTCCTTTGTTTTTCTATATGAGCTGTTATTTACTTTGTGCTCCTATTTATGTCCACTTTCTACAGTTTGATCCTTTTATTTTTTGAAATTTTATATCTGCAGAAATTTATTCTGAAATTAGATTTGGAAGATGATAGAGAAAAAAGGAAGGCCTTGAAAACTGTGGCTGCTCTTCCAGGTAATATTGGACTACGTACTCTTTTCCACATTTTTTGCTTATCAAGATTAATGAGGTCAAAAATATTAATGACAATTAGTTTGTATTAATTTACACTAACTGGAAAAAGAAGAAGAAAAAAAGAGCAAAAATTTAATGTGTACGATTGATTCTTGAATGATGCCACGTCAAATGGGTCCTCTATAATTACAAGCTGTCCATCTCTAAACGTCAGCAACTCACCCTAAACAATTCAAACTTGAATATCTGAATAATTCATTCTATGAGTTAAAGAAAAAGGTTTGCTTTTGAATAATCTATTAAATTTTTTATTTATCTGCTATCGTGTAAATAGTGGCCGAGACAGAAGCCGAGTTACGGGTTCAGCTAAACTCAATAACTTTTGCTCAAGGGTGTACTTGGTGTTATGAAAATTATTAAATAAGGTTAATATCCTGGCTCTATTTCTACGTGTAAAAATGTGCTACTTAAAAGTCAGTCAATGTGAAGTATCTACTGTATAAGTTTTTAATCTAGAAAGGATGATCGTTAATTTGTTGTAGTCGTTCAAATTACATAATTAGATATCAATAATTAAAGGATGAAGCTTAAACTACATATAATTCTATAATTTTGGGATTGTGAGTGTCATAGCTTAGATGATTTTCAAAATATTACCGTGATTTAGGTAGTTATCGTGTCACATCAATAGATATAAATTTGTAGCATGGTCAATAGTATTTTGGTGAAGTGTCCCTTCTAGAAATAATAACTAATTTGCAAGATATTATCAACAAAAATAATCGTGGGGAAATAGGGTCATCAAAAAGTTCGTCTTGAATGTGTCATGATATTTCTGAATTAAACTGTATATAAATGAGGTTAATTCAACTGAAATTTTGCAGGAATCGATGAAATTTCAATGGATATGAAAGGTAAGACATTAACCATTATTGGGACAGTTGATCCAGTAATTGTGGTGAGCAAATTGCGCAAATTTTGGGCAACAGAAATAATGTTAGTAGGACCAAAAGAGGAACCAAAGAAAGAAGAACAAAAAGAGGAAGGCAAGAAAGAGGAAGAATCATCCAAAGAGGAAGCAAAGAAAGAGGAGCCAAACAAAGAAGGAGAAGACAAGAAAGAAGAAACAAAAAAGGAAGGAGCAGTGGTAGGCATGGTAATGCCATATAGACCTTATTATCATCATCCTCCTCCTATGCACACATATAATTACCAAGTTCATCACAGTATAGAAGAAAATCCTAATGCATGTGCTATATGTTAATTTTATTTTTGCGTATCAGAGCGACAAAGGGCTAAATCTTAGTTAATGGTATGACAACTACGTCATTTTAGGAATATCCGATAGCGTTATATTATTATTTTAAATTGGTTGGAACACTTTGGGATCTTATATATATGTATGTGTATGTATATGAATATCTATATTTTTGTGCTTCTCTTTAGTTGGTCTTGGTTTATACTATTAATTTGAACCCAAGGCTATAGCTTTCAAGAATATTAGAGGAGCTTTAATTTTAGGAATAGACAATGATCCCATATTTGTCTCTTCAGAATCAAATATTGTGTAGAGAGAATTCAATAAGAACTTTGCTGCCATCTTTTTTTTAATTATTTTTACTACAAATAATTTCAGTACAATGTAATTTTGATAGTAATATTATTCCCTTTAAAGTGGATTTTATTATAGAGAATCAAGTAAAAGCTTGTTTATTTATTTATGCTTGTAGTTTTCCATTATTTCTCCATGTTCGTAAGTTGGGGCGGAGCTAGTGTTAACGTTACGAGTTCGGTTAGACCTAGTAACTTTAGTCTAAAATATTTATTTGTTTTAAAAAATTCGTTGAATATGTACAGAATATTAATTTAGAATCAATAATTTAAAAGGATTAGAATTTCGAACTCATAAATTTTAAATTTTGACTCCGTTTTTATTCTTACGTAAAATTTTACGTGGAAATTAAGGTTAAGTACATGCCAAAATATTGCACAAGGCACTTTTATGATTAATTTGGGTGTTATATATGGAGTCACTTTGGTACTCTTATCAATTACTATAACCCCACTAGGCCACTATTCTTGTTAGGGGTTGTTTGGTCGAGGGACTGGAAATATAAGTTCAGCATAAAATTTTATATAATTCCTTCATCACATTAATAATTTTTATATTGTATTCTCCGTTAGAGTAACTTGTGAACCAAACAACTCGCTAATGTATCTATGTCAAAGGATTGCTGGTTGTTCTTTGATGTAACAGGTCACTTTGGGTGGTCTACCTTGGAACTTAAAACCTAGCCGCAGAAGCAATTTTTATTTATTTGTATGTTTTCGAAATAATAAATTAAGCAAATATAAAAGGCAAAAATTAACCGAAATGGAGAACCAGACAAATAGAAAAGCATATGTGCAAATTGTTGTATCTGGATTTTTATTTTGGTTTTATTGTTACCACATGCAAATTATTGTGTTACAATTTGAATTCGTACCACCTGTCAAATTATTTTTATTTTCAGGAATGATCTTACAATTTTACGAAAACCTGTGTTTTTGGTAAACAATGGTCACTACGACCCCCTTTGTGAGCAGGTATCGAATCCGAGACATCTGATTAAAAATTCAAATAATATTTAACTACACGCAAGATTTATAATATTCCAGAAATTTCCAAAATTGTGATCGGAATCAATAATAATGGAAGCCTTTTTTGGCATAATCACAAAGGTGGGCGGCATTTGGCGACAAAGAGAAGCTGTCACCTTTTCCAGTTTCTTATAAGATCAAGAAAGTATGCAAAAACTATAGTAATTATTTTTAAAATAAATTTTTTGTACACTGAAGATATATTAAGGATTGAAAACGAAGAATTGAAGAAAAAAATTAATGAGGATTGAACTCACACGTATTGTACGTGTAACAGATACTAATAGAATGTATGTCTTGAATCTTGATAGTAAATTGTTGCAACTGAAATCTCCAAATGGATCAAAAAGTACTATAAATAATATATAGTACCATATAGATTACGAAAATTTACTCTCTATAGGATCCATAGCATGTCCTAAATTTGCTTTTAATATAATTAGATGACTATCTCTCTTTCTTTTTCCTTGTTTGTATTTGTTAAACCATAACTTGCTTAAAATGGAAGGAGTGGGTGTAGGAGGAGGTCATTTTGCTGCTGCATGTCGTCATTTTTTATTATTAACTTTTATCAAATAATTGTCCATTTAAATTATAAGCACGCAATTTTTGACCCGCGCAACTTTTAAAAAACATATATTTTAAAATATTTACTTATTTTTCTAGGATTTCGGTCTACTTTTATTTTAGTTTTTAAACATAAGATTGAAAACACAAAAATAATTTCATCCTATTATGCATTTTTATTTCACTTAAGGTCATTAGTATTATTTTTATTCTATTATAATTTAACATATTTTTCTCTATTTTTGCTTTAGTTTAATTTTCGGAAAAGATACAAAAATGGTCTTGTCTGTTACCTCAATATGTAATTTTATTATTTTTGCATTAGAATTATTTACTTAACTAGCATGAATTAGTAATAATTTTTTATTCTTGTTATTTAGAAAAAAAAAAGAAAATTAATTTTAAGCTGGACTTGGTCTTGATCCAAAATCAAGAGAAAGTCCAAGAGAGGGCCATTTTTTGGACAAAAGTTGGCCCAATTCGGGCAAGAGGAGGCCCAAAATTAGCAGTCCATTACCCATATCAGCCCAACCCGCGACCCAGTCAGCTGACCCGCCCCAATGCCCCTTTCAATCTCACCCCTTCATTCTTCTTATCCAACGACCCTAATTAATCCTTAGCCCCATATAAAACCTACATTATAACCTAACCCTAGAGACCTCAAACCAGTCGCACACTCCCTCTCTCCACCCTACTGCCGCCACCTTTACACCACAACCCGCCAAAGATCCGAACCCACTTCCCCACGTGGTCCCTTCCTCGTCTCTTTCCTCCACATCACCCGAGCCCTAACAGATTTATGACAACGGAATTATTCCCTTCCCGATTTCACGCGTTTTTATTCTCTTTTGGGCGACTATTGGATTAATGGGAGTCATGGATTGATTCACAATCAATCCTTGCCTTCCATTTGTCCCTAAATTGTTCACAAAAAGAAAATCAGTGGGCTCTTGGATTTTGGGAAATATTTCGGATTGTTTGAGGGATTTTATCCATTGTTTCTTGGAGAAAAAGGATGAAAGTTCGAGAGAGTGATATAAAAAGAGGGATTGGACAGATTTTCAAAAAGAAATTCGGGAAAAAGCTAGGGTTTCAAGGAAAAGAAAGGTCTTCTTCTGATTCTTCATTCATTTTTTTCGGGGTTTTTGGGAATTCTATTTTTAATTTTGCTTCTACATCAGAAAAATAAAATAAAAATCAAAAGAAAAGAGATATATTTCAGTGCTCTTCTTCTTGCGATTTGGATTTTCAGCTTTTTTTGTCATGGAATTCATTTTGAACTTCAAAGTTCTGGTCCGAGAGTCTTGTTCGTTTGGAGTTCATTTGATTGAGCCGAGTTTGTTTCGAGGTCGCTGTTCGAGTTCTTTCCTGTTTCAATCCTTAGTTCAAGTTCATTCTCTGAAGAACTATTGTAGCTGTTAAAGTGTTGTTAATCCCGTATACGGTAAAAACCGATCTCGGCCTTCGTACACCTGGTCGAGATGAGAACACGATGGACCGAAGAGCGCCTTCAGAATATCGGATAAGATCCTAAGCCAGGTTGCCGAATTTTGAGTTTCAGGGACTGATCAATACCGAGCTCGAAGTCATTATCGAGTTCGAGCCCAAATCGAACTATGAGAGGAAATGACGTTATCGAACTTAAGAGCCAAAAACCGACCTATACTGAGTCTGAATCAATACCGGGCCCCGAGTCAAATTCGAACTCGAGTCAATATCGAGCTCATAGACAAGAGTTGTTACAGCCGCATTAAGGGAGAGAATCAAGGCGGGAATTAGGGGAAAAAATAATCTGTCATGGGTTTCCCACTATGTGTTTTTAATTATATCAAAAGTAGGATTCCTCCACTACAAGAGGGATGTCTATTATTTCTATAAGGAAAAGAAAAGGAAGTCATTCATATAGTGTAACTAAAATACTATTGACATATTCTCATATTGAAAGATTATCTTTTTGAGCCTCATACATTATTTCATCTTGTTTTTTCATAAATCATCCTCCTTTCAACTTTGCTTATTTTTCATTCTTTACACTCAAGATTTGATATTTTTACTTCTTTTTATGATTTATGTCTAGTTATACCACATACCCTTAGAACTACATACAAATTCAACTATATCCATTTTTTTCGGGTAAACAGTTTAGCGCCCACCGTGGGGCTAAAGATAACAGTGGTTATTTTATACGAATCTGCAACACACACCATTTTACGCTTGTTTTTTGGAAGTGTCTTTGATTCCAGATTAGCAACAACGAACTCTCAATTAATGAACATACCTATCGACAACGAAGCTGGCCTTCAAGGTGAGAACAACAACTTGACGCCCAGGGCCGAAAGGCCGCTTGTCAATGTCGTTGAATCTCAAGTCGAAGTACCATCAGACGTTAATTCGCATGTGGCCATTGAGGAAAACCAACGTTCTGAACCTGGAAATAGCATTCATGGTGGTACTCGATCTGCAGCTCGAGACACCCATAACGTTGAGGAAAATGGAGTCAGCTTGCATATGATTTTTGAAATATTGCAAGCTCAATAGGTAGCGATAGCTCAGTTGCAGAGCCAAACCCACGTACCGAGCAGGCCGGAGCCCAGTCCACCCCGAGAAATTACCCATAGAACGGAGCCAACTATAGTAAGATCAAATGAGCAATAATCGGGGACTAATCCCAAAATTGCTAAGATACTCGATGAACTCACAAAACGGATCGAAGCAAATGATAAAAAATGGAAACACATAACTCCAAGGTCGATCACATCTCGGGGGCACCACCAGTGTTAAAAGGGTTGGATTCCAAAATATTCGTGGAAAAGCCTTTTCCCTCGAGTGCAGCTCCAAAACCGATCCCCAAAATTCCGTATGCCCGAGATTCCTAAATATAATGGAACGACCGATCCCAATGAACACGTCACCTCTTACACATGTGCCATCAAGGGTAACGATTTAGAAGATGATGAAATCGAATCTGTATTGTTGAAAGAATTCAGAGAGACCCTATCGAAGGGAGTGATGATTTGGTATCACAACCTGCCATCAAATTCCATCGATTCATTTGCCATGTTAGCAGATTCTTTCGTAAAGGCGCACGCCGGGGCCATAAAGGTCGCAACGAGTAAATCAGACATTTTTAAGGTAAGACAAAGGGATAATGAAATGCTGAGGGAGTTCGCGTCTCGATTTTAAATGGAACACATGGAGTTGCCACCAGTCACGGATGATTGGGTCGTTCAAGCTTTCA